TTTGTAAGGAGCTGCAACCATTAGGGCTCCCACACAAAACTGCGAATTCGCGTCGCATCGCAAATATCTGCGGATTCGCACGAACGCAACGCAAGAATTTCCGATCTGCTTCGCATCGCACATTCCTGCGATTTTACGTCATCCTTGGTGACACCATTTTAGTCCGCTCTGAGACAAACAATTAAAATGTCAATAAATACATTTTGTTTTACTTTACGTGATAGTCAGTCCCAGCATTTCCAAAGGCATAACAGGAATTCTTCCCTTGTACGATCGTTTTTGAAGGCATGGTGATAATATACTCAAAAGCTCTTCAAATGAAGATATGCTCATTCTAAAATAATCAAAAAAATTATCTTCAGTTCTCAACGCATAGTACTTTTGAATAAAATAGTTCCCATCAGAGTTCATAATCGTAAAGAATGGATGAACCCAGAATCTTCTTTTTCTTTTATATCTATTTAACAATAACAGCAGTGCAATAATCTTTTTGCGATCCATCTTACGCTTCTTAAAAACATGTTCAGTACGGCTGGCTTCGAAGGAATGGTCGCCCTACCAAACGGTTTGACGCACTAAATCGTATCGCATCGCAGTTTTGTGTGGGATCCCTTACACCATGCATTGTATAACATATCAGCATCGGTACTATGTATTATGTAGCTTCCTAATAGTGGTAGCGATGCTTATTAGAGTATTTGTGTAAATCCCGAGGTTGCTACATCTACGCTATAAATAGAAAGACATTAGAGTCACTCATGGTCATGTGTAATACCTTTTCAGGATCCCTATTAAATGCGCCAAAACTTGTAATACAGGGTCACTTTTCGGTAGAGTATTTTTTTTCACAGTGGGGTCCGAATTAAACAAAAAGTTATGATTTGAGAAATTTTTATATCGTAACTTAATATTATCTTCAATACACTCAATAAACAACTATAAATAGCATGTCTAATATTAACTTATCAGTACCAATCTAGAGGATATTATGAAAAAGATACAGGATATAGATTATTTTTAATTTTAATAAGAATTAGTAAACAAAAGTCAATTTTATAGAAACGTAAAATAAATTATAACTCTGCAGGGGTTGAGCTTAGGGACCTCCTGTAGAACAATTTTTTGAAGCTGATGACCTCATCTATCCCCTTGTTGCGTTTGATCCACGACTTTTTGGCTACCCTGTATATTGGAAGAACTCGGGACTCGGTACGACAGTGTTTTTATCAACTTTGTTTATTACGATTATGTATGACTAACGTCGAAATAATTTAATAAATAAGTAAATGGTAAGTGACTGTGTTTAAAACCAGGTAGAAGGTCTAGGCCTTTAATATCCAGTTTTGCCTATCGACAAAAACTATTTACATTACAAATGTAACAACAGAAAATATAATAAAAAAATATCGGAATAATTGTCGGATTTTAAATGTCAACGCATGTACTGTAGAGTACTCTTGGTAAATTTGTCGATTCACGGATCCACCTTAAAACAGCTCCAACTTTTCGAAGTTATACTTCTTTAGGCGCGTTATGAAAAATTTATGAGAGTGAATTTTTACGATGCGCGCGCACCTGAGACACAAAGTTGTCAGTGTGATTATAGCGTGCGCGAGCAAGATGGGAATAAGACAATCTACAAGTAAAAAGAAATAGAATATGCGTGAAGTTAGCAGCTATGCCAAGAATTTTGAATGACCATAATGACATTTACCTTTGAAAAAAATAATTATTTTTTCAAAGAAATTTAGCAATGCTTTTTGAATTATAATCAGAATTCAGAAGTGATTTAAATTGAATATTTAAATCAATTCTAATTAATATTAAAAAAGGGTGCGTGTACTTATGTACGCGCGTAAGAAGTTATACTTCTTTGGCATTATTAAAAATAGTTTTTGATTGCATGAAAATAATTAATTACAATTAAATAATCAAAGCCTGGAAAAGGAGTCATTATAGTCAATTAAGTTCAGTTTACATTTGAAAAATTAAATAAATATGTAATTATTTATTATTATTCTCTTACATTAAGTGTAACATAAATTATATTTAGTTAAAATTATATATTATTATATATTTAGAACATCTCTACCAAACACTAAGAAGTATGTTGTTGCTTTGGCAGTATTGCACAATATAAAATTAATAAATTTCTTTGAAAAAATAATCAAAACTCCTTTATTTGTTTAAAAGGTAAATGACAAATGTCATTATGGTCATTCAAAATTCTTGGCATACGAACTTCACGCATATTCTATTTCTTTTTACTTGTAGATTGTCTTATTCCTATCTCGCTCGCGCACGCTATAATCACACTCCCAATTTTGTGTCACAGGTGCGCGCGCATCGTAAAATTTCACTCTCATAAATTTTTCATAACGCGCCTAAAGAAGTATAACTTCAAAAAAAATTGTGAAAAAACTGTGCTCATCAATCTTCCTAAGTGCTTCAATACAATTGAGGTTAACTATCCGTATGTATTATTATTATCCAGTATTATTGTTGAGTAAAACTGAAACATGAACGGTTATTCATTGCTTTTGTTTAATGCGTTTGTTACAGCAACTTTTTAGAAATATTCTACGATTCTATATATCAATAATTGAAATTCTGATGAAGACATTGGAGTCACTTAAAAATAAATACCTAGCATAAGTAATGAAATAAAAATGTTTTAAAAATAAATAGGGTTTAATTTGTTTATATAACTTAATTATTAAAACAACCTAAATTATGAACTATGAAACTTAAAAGTTTGCATCAATAAAAATGGCTCTCACTGCTGCTCCACGAAGTGTATTTTAAGATGAGGGCACTGTTGGTAGTGAGGGCAGGGTCTCTTCATCATGATCAGAGATAGGTTCCTCTTTTGAATCAATGGCTATATTGTACAATACTGCCAAAGCTACAACATACATCTTAGTGTTTGGTACCTAGAGATGTTCTAAATATATAATAATATATACTTTTAACTTAATAGAATTTATGTTACACTTAATGTAAGAGAATAGTAATAAATATTTATTTAATTTTCAAATGTAAACTGAACTTTATTGACTATAATGACTCCTTTTCCAGACTTTGATTATTTAATTGTAATTAATTATTTGCATGCAATCAAAAACTATTTTTAATAATGCCAAAGAAGTATAAGTTCTTACGCGCGTACATAAGTACACGCACCCTTTTTTTTTCAATCGTTCTTTACGACTTGTATGTACCACAAGTAATATTATATTACCCTTAAAAAATGATAATACTACATGCATGATGAAAATGATATTGTCTCAGTTCCTAGTGAATTACATTAGGTTAAAGCCAAAAATTTGTACCTTCTTTCATTCATTTCACAAATTATGATGTTTTAATTAATTTATGTTGGGTTAAAGATCATGCGCCACCACATTATTGCATGGTACAACATTGTCGAATGATGAAAATATGTAGAAAAAATTTGGAGCTGTTTTAATGATGTAAGGTGATTCGGCAAATTTACCAAACTCGTAAATCAAAGGGATAGTCTAGAATACTACGACTTAGGAAGTAAAAAAAGATTCGATTGTTGGACTTGGAATAGTATTATTAAAAGTTTAACTAAAATATGTATGTAATAAACATCTTCGTATAGATGATTATTTAAAGATATAGAAATTATAATAATAATTGTTAGACATCCCGAAATATTTGTCTCACTCCAAAGTAATATTAATGAAAGAATAATACGCAAATTCTTATAAAAATAAATCAGTGGCGCTACAACATTTTTAGGTCTGGGTCTCAGATTTCTGTATCATGATCATTTGACAATCTAAAAGGCAAGTAGGTGATCAGCCTCCTATGACACACTTTTTTTGGTAACCAAAATTATATCGATAAATATACATACTAATGGCGCAACCTTTTAGGTCTGGGATTCAGATTTCTGTACGTGTTCTGGGATCATTTTTAATAAACAATTCAAGATTCTGTGCCTAAAACACAGTGCGCAATTAACACTAGCTCGTACAATGAAAACATCGTGAAGAAACCGGCTTTAGACTCAAAAAGTCGACTGTACAGTTTACACGGAACAGATACAGAAATCTGAAGCCCAAACGCAAAAGGTTGTTGCGCCATTTGTATATATATATTTATCGATATTATTTTGGTTAAATGAAATATTTTAAATTATTAAAAATGCATTTCACAACGAACGAAATCGTTAATAACATATAAAAAATAATATGCAATAGATAGATTCCTTATCTATTGCATATTATTTATTACTTACGTTATATGTGTATTGCATAACGGCTATTGACATTCTTTCGGATGTGGGTAAAAGGGGGAGTTGTTCCGGGCTTTTTGTCTGTATGTGTAATTTGCTACTACGCATTATTGTTGAGAACTAGATACACGTGAGAACTAGTTGTGCAAATTTATTTCTTAAGGTCTACGGTCACATTGGGGGACAAATGGACCGGTACATTGTAATTGACAGGTTATTCTAGTACTTATGTGCATTATAGTATCGTGTATGTAAAGAAAGCTGTGTAAAAAGGCTTACTATAAAGTTAACGATTATCTAGTTGATAAAAGGGCCTGGGACTAGTGCTAGACAGGCTACTTCTTATTTATTTGCGATATTTGTTTTAAAATAAGTGTTGTTTGATGATTTGCTATTTTAAAAGAGTACCTACCGAGAGTTTTTTACACCGGCTTTTTCTCTCGGCCTACACCCTCTGTCTTCTTTGGCGATGAGGGATTAATAATTTAAAGACGTGGAATAAGTGATACCTGTATCTTATGTTCCATAATAAACATATTTTATTTATTTATTTTATGTTTCCATGGTAACGAGGTTTGATATCAAACGTATGGTTACCATGGTAACCAAATAATCTACTGTCCACAGTTTAAGGTTTTAATGTCGCTCGTGCGTTGTGCGCTAAAGTAGGTAATCACTGGTGCGACATTGACGCCGGTCACGTGCAGTCGCTCAAGGAAAAAGAGCAAGCAACATGTCTCCTAGTTGCAGGACACTAGGTTGTGTCAGCAGATGTAAAATGTTCCTTAGATATCATTGGAGATATGAAACTTCTTCAGAAAATTATAGCTATCGAATTAACATACGTAGTTATTATTATGGATTCAAAATCAAAAATAATTTATATAGGTAACACAATGTACACTTATGAACGTCAAAAACGAAATATACATTAAATGCTTGTAATTTTTCAATTACTGCCAGTTCTCAAATCAAGTGCGTAGAACGGAAGAGAAGAACTGGCAATAAACTCTCCGCCACTTCGCCAAGTTTTTTTATTTTAGATAATGTTTGTATGGAGCTGCAACTATTACACCATGTTCCACATGGCATCTTTAGTAATTAATAGTTAATTAATAATAATAAATAAATTATTAATATTCATAAGGCACAGTGAAATAGGAGCACGCACTTATATTCTCGATTAATAATAATAGTAAAAAATATTGAAACAGAAATGAATCGTATTTGTTTTTCTTTAACAAACCTTCAATATGTTAAACAATAATATATAACAGATTATATTACAGTTAAAAATTGATATTAAGGTTTTGGAGAAAATAGGTTTAAAACGAATGAAAAATATTCAACGTGACACCGAGTTCATTGGTCGCCATGCATTGTTGAAACCATTTGCATACAATGCATTCTCGAAATTAAATCACTTATTTCTCAAACAGTAATTGTGTGTCAATGATAAAAATTAGTTTGGTAACATAATTGTAATTAAAACAATCGTTACACGCGTGTGTTTGATTAAGAAAACCAGTGGTGTTATATACCTTATGCTTGCCTTCGGATTTCTTTATCTGTTTTGTGATGATTTGAGTCTAATAGGCAAGTAGGTGATCTCCCTACGACGTCTCACGTCAGGAATGAGAGTTGCACGCCACTACAATACTTCGTTTGAAGGCTTAGTTAAGTTTATTTATGGCCTTGACATATATATTATTTTAAATATATTTTAAATATTTCACCTGACATGAGTTACTTATAACATAACTAAAATTATTTATTAACATATTCCAAAGTACGTATATGTAAAGTATATGTTAATAGCTAATACGGCATGCATTATAAAGTAGTTTAAATGTAATCGTAGTAACAAAAATAATATGAAAGCTGGATGTGCTGGATAAGCTGGTATGTTTTGTCGTGATATTTTGCGTAGGTAGAAGCTATTGTACTGTATATGGGAAAAGGAATAAAAGTAAAGGATTCAAATGCTGGACCTTAGAGAATGGTTAGAAAGTTCGTTCGCATCGTTTCATTTAACACGTGAAATGTTTTGCTTGACCATCAAACGAAGGCTTCTCATACCAATAAGTTATATTTAAACGATAATTAGCTTGAACTGACTCCCTAAGTCGAAATTCAGTAGGTACATCATTGACGGCGCCAAGTTCTGGTCGTCGTTTTGAATCTTACCAAATCCAATACACATTAGACGAAAACTAATATGAAATAAAAATCATTAAGCACCTCCAGATAATTAATATTTAAGCTAACTTTATTCGAGTGAACCGTTGGTAAGCTACTGACCTAGTCAAACACGAACTGAACAAAGTGCTGTTTCCAAAAATAATCACGGGATCTCCCAACAAAACCCATCTTTCATATAGGTCTTCCAATATTTTTAGTATGTTGAGAATATTTATTTATTTCCTTATTTCCAATACTGTAACTTAATACTAATACAATAGAAGTTATTAATATAAAAATTTAACTAAAAACATAATATAAACAAAACAAGCAAACATAAAACCTTAACCTTTTTATAACTAATTATAAATAATACAATTCTTGTGAATTCAGATAGTGTGCAACTAAATACATATATGTGTGTGTCACATGCAATAATATTCATAATATTCCATAAATTATACAATTTAATTACATGTTTTTGTTTTTTTCAACTGTTTTCAACACGCCTTAGTACATGAGTGAGTGTGTGGGTGTAAGTTAGTGAATGCGTTAATGTGTGAGTGCATGTGAGTGAGTGAGTGAGTGAAATGTGTAACTACATATTAGGTCTCAGAAGCATCTCCAACACTGCGTAAGGTGTGTTCATAAGCCCGTCCTTTAATCCTATTATTAGATTATAGACAGTGAGCGAGTAGATATTAAGCAGCCTATTTAATCTATTATATAATTATATATTCTGCCTGCATTTTGAGTATGACAGTCCTTAGGCCATTTCTCCACTGCTCCGGTCCGGCAAACGTTAATTACCGATCCGATTTAGAAACACACAACAGCACTTACGTGCTTCTCCACTACTCCGGCATCCGGTTTTTAACGATCCGATAACTTGCTAGATCGGAACGCGGTGTATTATCGGTCCAAGTATATCCAAGAGGTTATAAATTATTATTCATAGGTTTATTTATAGTTTCTTTAATTTGAAAGAATCTGTATAACCTGGACCAAACCAAATTATGTTGCTATTTATTTCTATCTTTATACCATAGTATTAGTGAACTATTTATTAAGTAGATTATAATATTTCAAGATAGACAATATAAAAAAGTAATAAACTTGCCAAGGCAATAAAATATTCAGAATTTAGAACGTTTTATTAAAAAAGTAAACTAGGTATATGGGTTTTAGTTAATATAAGTGTTGCATGATAAATATACAAGTATCGATTATTATCGGATCGGATATAGTGGAGAAGCGCAGTCCGGCCTTCCGATATTTTTCTCATGACTCATTCCGGTATCCGACGCCGGACCGGAGCAGTGGAGAAAGGGCCTTACGGTCTGCCGGACGACAACATCTCTATTTCTTAATGGTTATGGACTTTCAGAAGTTCCTAAGGTAATTAGTATCCAACATCTGGTCTTAATTTTTCAGATCCATGCATTTACATCCTCCGATTCGCATCTCAACTGCAGTTCGAAGACAAACAGCACGAGGTGAGTATGACAGCACTTCGGCTTGTGCAGAGGATGAAGAGGGACTCAATACATTCCGGACGTCGGCCATCTGGTGTCTGCGGAGCTGGTAAAAATCCCTTGATACACAAATTTTAATTTAGTCGTAGTTAGATGTATTAGTAGGAGATCCGGCTGCAATTTTTTATGTATATTTATAATTCGGAGAATGTATATCTACCAAGGTGCCTATCAAAATTTGGCCGCTAGTATTTTTATGAAATTATTTTGAGTTGATTTTTGGGAAAACTTTTCGTTCACTTAATGTTATTTAAATATAATATCGTCTACATCACGGCAATTTACATGAAGATTTGAAAAAATCACGGTTTTGAGCAAATAACAGATGAGCGCACTAATCATGCAGCCGGATCTTAGACCATATGTGCCTTTCCCGATAAGTAATATTTTTTCAATTCGAACCAGTAGTTTTTGTGTTTAATTCTTCAGCTCTATACTACAGATTTTTAACTTTATATACATGTTCTGGCCTGAGATTTCTGGTACTGCATTTTCTTATATTTTGAAAAATGATTTCAGCACTCCTCATAGCAGCAAGACTACACAATTTTTCGCGGACGCCGTCTGATGTTGTGCGTATAGTCAGGGTGCATGAAAGTACGCTGCGCAAGCGGCTTCTGGAGTTTGGTGATACGCCATCCAGTGCGTTGACACTTGACGAATTCATGACAGTTGATCTTGAAGAGGAGCAGGACCCTCCAATTTTCAAAGAAGCAAGGAAACGGGATAAAGAACGACTGCAAAAGGTCAGTGGAAAGAAGAGAATATGTCAAATATCTATGGCTGCTTGCTACAATTAACAAAATTTTTAATGCCTAAAAATTTCATTATTTCATGGATGTCATTTATATAGTAATAAGACGTGACCTACTTTATAACTTTCGATTTTGTGCACTCAATATTTCAGCTCATGGAAGAAGAGGACGGAGAGAGAGAACTTTCAGAACTTCAGAAGGAGATAGAAGAACAATTAGAGAAAGACAACGCGAAGAAGAAAAAGTTAACAGCAACGCCAAGCTCAATCAGAAGTGGGGGTGGGTACTTTGTAAGAAATAAAACTCGTGGTTTCTTGATTCTAGATGATGATTGTTATCGTCACTAAACGATTGACTAGATTTTAAATTATATATTATGTTATATTTTTTGTTTAGCTTACTTTTATGATTTATAATAATAATAACTTTTTATTTTAGATAATATATATCTGTATGTTTAAGTTAGAGTAAGGAACAATTTGGTCTTACTTGCTATGTTAGTAGGTTAGTAAACAAAACAAAAAACTCATATAGTGGGCATGGACAGCATACCAACGTTTTAAGATATGTGTATTCTTTGTAATCAACATATTCAGGATACCACTAGTGCTATGCCTAACACGATGCATTGTCAAGTATGACAATCTTTTTCGAATGATGACATTCAAACCGTCAGTTCTCGGCAAACATACCTGACGCACTGCAGAACCTCGGCAAGCCCAACTGATGCCATCTTCTTCTCCAAGGGACACAGATTCTTTTATGTGTTCATACTTCTGTGCCTATGGAATAGATAGTTATAGGAATTAATAACTCTAGTTTTTGGACGGTATTTTTTTAGTACATTTTGCTATCGGACTACTATTTTATATGATGTTAACATTTTATTTGGATATATACAAGTAAATAAATGCTCTATATAAATACGATTTTGTAAAGACGAACATACTATACACAACATACTACATAGAACATATTTAGGCACAATTTTTTATGTAAATTAAATGTTGTAAAGGTGCAGATGAATCCATCAACGAAGAAGATGAAGCGACTCGTTTCGCAGAAGAAAGGACTATCAGTCTTATTGGAGAGTTGGCGAAGACCGTCTCAAAAGACACAGAAGAAAGCGCCACAGAAGTAGAAGAAGAGAAAGAATTAGGTTAGATTATATTCTAATGTTTGAATCTATGGTATATTTATTATCTGGCGCCATTGCAACTCACTTGCGCTGTGTCAAGTTGACGCTGTCAAGTTATTTTTTCAACCATTTTAACTAATAAGCGCGACGCCAGGGGCAGCTATAATCATTATTATCAAGATTTTAACCATTTTTACGTGGTCTAGGAATATTTGTGTTCGAAAAAATATTTTATTCAAATTTGGAAATTGTGTGATTAAAAAAAAGTCTCATGACTGCATGCATTTAAATAATAATAAAAGCATTAATAGGAACCACAACTGTCACTTATTCAATAGATGTACCTACACTTTTCTGTATACAAAAGCATAGGCTCTTCGGTTTTAATATATCTTGACAGTCAGAACTATTTTCGGGTAAGAACTCCTTAAAAACAGAGAAAAGTAATAATAGTAATAAATTTAATTACTTTTCAAATGATTACTAGATTTTTGATTTGCTATTAGTAACAATAATAACTGTAAACGGAGTAGTAAAAATATTTTAAAGGCCGGCAACGCACTTGCGAGACCTCTAGCATTGAGAGTGTCCATGGTCGACGGTATCCCATCAGATAGCCATAATCATCAGATTAGCCTCCTGCCCGTTTGCTTGTATTGTTTTTTTTTAAGTTTTATATTATTGTGGTCGTTTCGTGTATATTAAAAATATATAAAAATTGGTTTAAAGGTCCAGAAAAGGCAGTGATCGGTATATCCCACGTTAACGAGAAAACAGACACATTTTTGAAGCCAGAACCGAAAACCCAGTTACCAAATAACCTGACGAATGCAGATGAACTGGTTCTTGGGGATGAAGATGAGGCGTATATCGATTCTCTCATCATGACTGCTGATGAAGCGAGGTATAAGACGAAGATGTGGAAGACCATAAATGCTGGTTATCTTCGGGATCAAAAGAGTTAGTATAATATAAATTACCGCCCCTAAGACATACATATTTATTAGGTTTTAAAAATGTTACCTATTAAATATGAGCAGTGTTGGCCTAGTGGCTTCAGCGTGTGACTCTCATACCTCAGGTCGTAGGTTCGATCCCCGGCTGTGCACCAATGGACTTTCTTTCTATGTGCGCATTTAACATTTGCTCGAACGGTGAAGCGTGTGCAGGCACTGGAGGCTAATCACCTTTTTGCCTATAAGTTTTAAAAATGATCATGAAACAGATTCAGAAATCTGAGGCCAAGACCTAAAGAGGTTGTAGCGCCACCGATTTTTTGTTATTATTTATTTATACTATATTTAACCAAATTCAAAATCGAATTGCGTAAGTGTACATTATTTTCTTATATCGAGATAAAATGATGTATTTCAATTTAAGGACTAGTTCAAGTTTCATCAAAATGGCTTCAGTAGTTTGTGAGATAGGTACGCTTTTCTGGAGGGGTTAATATATTTTTGCTAATTTTTTTAATTAAATAAATTCAATTACTTATTAAAATAAGGAACGTAAATAAAATGTAAATTTAAATAATCTAGTATTTTTATGCTGGGCAATTACGTTTTGACAGATTTTTTTTTATTATAAATTTTTGATGAAATTCATATTTTAATTACATAAATAAACAAATGGCACTACAGCTTTTTACTTCTGGGCCTCAGATTTGTGTATCTGTTTCCTTATTTGTTTTCTCTAATAGGCAAGTATCAGCTTTCTGTGTCTGACACACGCCATCTTTTAGCCCCTTCTAAGGCATGCCGGTTTCCTCACGATGATTTACTTCAACGTACGAGCAAGTGTTCAATGCGTACATAGACAGAAAGTCCATTGGTACACACTCGGGATTCGAACCGACGACCTCAGGGATGAGATTCGCACTCTGAAGCCACACTCCGAATCTAGTGCTGGCCAAGTGAGGCCAACACTTCTCGTAATTACATAGCAACTTAATTTTCTATATTGTGTATTGTCATAAAGAAATCTTTAATTGATAACGCAAGCGTATATCACGGACATCCTAAGTTCCACTCCATCCTATAAGTCCAGCGAAAATTCTTTATGAATTAAGGTTGAACGGCATATTAGGCTAATGAGATGGTTTTTGTGGAAGGAAGACCTGATATTTACTGCCTCAAATTCACTTTTAGGAATAAGTGTAATTGATACAGAAATGCTTCCAGGCGTTATCGCTTATATTTTATATATTTTCTCTCTGCACAAATTAATGTTAATAGTAATAAGTAATTTAAAACTAACCTAATTTACTTGAAGGATATTTAACATAAGAAAGTCCAATAACGCAACTTAATGTCTATTAAGGGGAAGACACTGTTCTTGTGTACTATTTTCCACCAGTGATTAGCACTTAAGACTAACGTGCACGCGCAATAATTCAATAATTCGAATAGTTTTGTCCTTTTTAATCTTCTCTCTAGGCCCGTGGTGTCAAGAAGTTGAATACCCTCGACATTCACGTGTTGGTGGAGCCTTTGTTCGTGGGCTCCAGCAATCTTTTGATTATTGTGGTGACAGTGATATTAAGGTCCCGATGGAGGTCTTCATTGCAAATGTACATGATCATTGTCTATTCCCCGGAGCACTTTGTTTTGGAATCGTTGGTTTATTTGGATAGCTTTTACTGGTACAGACGACTTAAATTTTGAACATACAAATTTTACAGTAAAAGAAGAAATCCGCGCAAAAGAAAAAGAAGAAGGGAAAGATAGAAAGAAGAAAGTGCGTGGCTCGTACAGGAAGAAAGTGAATTGTAATGCCGCTACCGCTGGAGAGGCGATTGGGAAGATGTTGGCCGAGAAGAAGATGAGTTTGAAGATTAATTATGATATACTCAAAAGTTTGGATCAGCCTGGTGTCTCTATTCCTGTGTCTTCCAGTGAACCTGTTGTGGAAAGGTGAGGCTGCAACCCCTAAGTCCCAGATTTCTGTATATTTCGTGATTATTTGTTTTTCCTTCAAGTGGCTAACTGAGACATGTCGACTCTTGTCCTAAGACATGCCCGGTTTCCTTACTATTTTATCTGTACGAGCGAGTGTTCCATGTGCAGAAAGAAAGAAGTCCACCGATGCACAGCTGTGATTTGAACCCGTGACCTCAGGGTTATGAGGCTAATGTCACTTTGTAGCCACTGTTTAGAGTAGTTTTTTAGTATTTATATTATTTTTAATGTTTCCGTTTACATTTTTTTAACTGCTCATTGACCATTTACTCCATTACGTGTTTTTGTATAGATTATTATTGATAGCTTGTTTGCCAAAGGCCCAAAACACTATTTATCTAGAGTTGAGAGAAGGATTGAAATTACGTCAAAATAGTTTAAAATACAGTCGTTCCCGGTGTAGACACATTTTTGAAACACTATTTTTTAGCTCTGAGAAAATACGTGCAACTCAAGTCAATTTACGTTTATTTCATTATCACTACTTGAGGTATCATTATTTAGTTTCGGGTCTTTTTTTACTTGTAGAGTTGATTTGACTTACGTTTTCAATTCAATTGATTTATTTAGTTACTCCAAATTCAATTCACTTTAACCTAGATTAAAAAGCTATCTTAGTCCTTGTTCACACGGAATCATTAAAAGAAGAAAAAAGAGAGGTTTCGCGCGTATTTGTTTTTTCAGATTTTTTTAAAATTACACTAAACTACAGTGTAAACTCTATATAAGGACACTTAAGGGACTGTGCTTATTTTGACGTTACAGACAGTTGGCGTAAAATAGACAGTAGAGAAATCTAGAAAAAGAAAAAGTTTAATTCAGACTAGTGTTAGGGATTACATAAAAAAACAATTCTTATTTGAACGTTATTTATTGCGTTGTCTGTTATTTTCGCCTGACGCCTTTTGCGGCACCAGTAATTATGTTGTATTTTTTTTTACTTATTTTATTCATATCTTGCGATATTGAGGCATTTTCGTGATAAATCACGCTCAAGCAATCCCAATTTGTAATTAAAAGAACGGATTTCTTAGAAAGTTCGGTACGTATGATGCCGATAGTCGAGTTTATTACGGGCTAGGACAATAAAGCGACAAAAGAACGTACATAGCTCCGCAGTTTTAACTATTTTCGGCAACTTAAAAAGTACTTTTTATTATTTAATTCTCGTTATTGAGGGTGGGTGTAATGCTATGTAGAGTGTATCATTGTATGTAATTTAAGCTAAATCAACCAAAGCCAATTGATTTCGATGCTTTAGGGGATTTATCGTTAAATTGAGGGACGTTACATGGCGTTTAGACTGTATTTTAGTCTTGTCAACACTCTACACTGAAACGAATTCTTTAAATAGACGTGATAAAAATAACCTATTCTATGTATGTACCACGTTAATCATTTTTATAAGACAAAATCGTCGTTACCATGGTAACCAATGTAACTAGTCCACGTTTAATAGGACTTATTCTTTTGCTTGTCACCTTCGAAACTACGAAAACAACTACCCAAGACGGGTTTGTTTATTCGTGGGCACAAGAGGCCAACTATTTACATATAAGGGCATAGTCAAATAAGACAATGTTTTAAACAAAGTGTTATTTCCATAGTCCGAAAGACGAGCTAGTGGAGAGTAAGACACCAGGTCCACCCCCATCTAAGAAGAAAAAGAAGAAAGCAGCCCCACCTTCAGATACGGAATCGAACCCTCCCACTCCAGCACCGGAAACACCTGTTCCCAGCACGCCGATACAAAAGGATATAGGTCTGTTGTTTCATATAGAGATTATATAATAAAATTGTCGACACTGTATGGTAGAGAAGAGACATAAAGAAAGAAAGAAAGAAAAAACTTTATTATACACAATATTTAGGTAAAATAAAATGCACTAGCCCCCACACTAGGACTCCCTGTGTTGTAGGCAGCCAGTTGGTAATCTCGGAAACTACATATAGTGGGGCAAACGCGCTTATGGGACAGTCATAAAAGGCAGTTACGGTAGCTCATGGACTCCCATTTTCGTGGGGCCGGAGGGGTGTAAAAGAAAACCTCTATACGACGACTTACATTTCGATTCCACATTTGACATTAGCTACTGTCATTTGGTAAAATAATGATACCACATATTATAATAGTGTAGTGATGAACACAAATTTATAAACAATCGCGATTTATCTTTATGTAATCATAATATTGGTGTGCCAATTAAAGACCAAATTATTGATTTTTATTTAAATAAATACATAATTATTTATTAATTAGTAACCGCTTATTTATTTTATAAAAAGTTAATATTTTTCATGTTCCTTCATGATCAGATTTTTTTATTCATTTCACACACAATTATTAAAGAAAACTCTCAGATCCTTAGTAAAATTAATCGTCATAACTAAATTATGCGTTCAGAAATATTTAATTTCCTGATATACTTAGTTTCTATTAAAGTAGTAGCTGTTTAGATATACTACTATAAACCAGAGGAATCGATCCGGATATATTCCATTTCCATATCGAATAATTTCGCAACGTCACTATTAAGTACTTGTCATAACGTTGCAACACCGAAATTGTCAAATCTGGAATCGAATTAAAAGTCTTAGTATAGTACTCATGAATTAATATAGTAATTGATTTATAAAAATTGGAATTAGCATCTTTAACATCAAGTAAAAACGTTAATTCACACTTCGTTTCTCTTATAAGCGATTCTTGAGAAGTAATATATATGAAGTTTCCAAAGACAATTTATTAATGTATGCTATCCCTCCCTACTTTTTAATATTAAAATCATTCTTATCTATCTTTCCTTCTCACTTTGTAATTTGTTATTTGTATATAAATACCCTTACCATATCCTATCCTGCTCAATCGTGACTTTTTTAATTCATGTATTTCTTATTATTTTATATTGCATCGCAATTCGTGAATGCGTGATATTAGCTTTTTGTTTTTTTTTTTGTAATATTTTTATTATAAGATTTGGTTATGCGCTTCTTGCGCTTTACCCATCATATTTTTCCTTGCTAGGGTTGCCTCGAAGAGATCGCTTGTTAGCTATAAGGTTTTGCATCCCTTATAATTTGTATGTATTATGTTAAGTATTTGTTTTTCTATAAATGTAACGAAGTGTAAATAAATAAATCAATTCCATAATTCCTTATATTATTAAACGGCAATGTAGACAACATTTTTGTCAAAACGATTCTAATGGAAGATAGCCTAAGAAAATTTAATATTTTGTAGTAAATAAAGATTATTATAATATTACAGAAGCTGATGATTACGAAGAAGAAATAGATACAACAGAAAATGATACAGAACTATCTTTAGCCAGCATGTTGCAGAACCAGCAAGAGGATGATTATTATGATTATGAAGAATATTAGTTTATGTATGATCTTCTATTCTATAGTTATTGTTTAAGTAGTAGGAGAAATGGACATAGCTAAATTCCGGGCTAAAAATTGTTAATTGGCAATGTTCGTTAAGTAATCAAAACAATTGGGTATCTAGTATTAACTTTACTCAAATCTATTTTCAAAGTGCTAAACGGGCTTAATGATTTAAGATTTGTTGAGTTTTTAAATAAACATGTAACAATGTAATACAACATTTTACAGTCACTATATACAATAAGAAACAATATATTTACATATTATTAATTCTCCTCAGCGACTGAGTTGTCAATAGACAAGTCTGATCATATTAAGCGGGTACAAATTTAGTGTAAAGAAAAATAAAAAATACAGTGAGATAAATTTTTCTGAAGCGGTACGGATGAAGTGGTTTTGTTGTACATACATCTTAGGATTGTTTGAAAGTACCTTATTTTAGTATATTTTATTTATTTTAGTTCAATTACTTATAATTTTTAAGTTGTTTATTTAAGAAAACCATTCGGTATTTGTAACAATGTGATGCTTTTAATCTATGAAACTCAATGTAGTGGAATAAATAAAGGAATTCTTAAATTATGTTTGCCCATGTATTGTAAAAATAATGTTTCTCTGCATGGAATAATCATTTAGATTAAAATGTTATATACTCTGTGGTATTATGATGTAAAAATATAGAGAACAAACCTGTACTTTGTATTATCATTTAAAAATGATATGTTATTTGTTAAATTTGCCTTAACTAAAGCAATGATAGAGATGTCACATTCCATTCTCGGGGTAACAAAACTAAAAAAATGGACGTCACACACGTGTTAAGCAAATTGTATGTGGTAAATGAATTTTGTAAGTATATATTATACAACTTTGTATTTCCCGCCAAAACTGTCTCCCTTCGTATTTATTGAACAGCTGAAAAAACATTGGTCTATTCTCTATGTTTAAGATGCTTTTATACATAAATAAACGTTTTTAAATATGTTTTTGTTTAGTAAATACATAGTTATAAATGACTTCAACGAAAAATATGACATCAAAATTTAAGTAACAATTTAATCAACAGCATCAGTCAGCGCTCAAGATGAGATCGTGACTTGAGATACTAATTAGAAAATGAGTAAAAGATTCAGGATTTATACATAGCAAACAGATTCCCTTTATCAAGTGGTACAATTTAATTGATAGAAAACATGCATTCAACTTTACTCAGTACCTATACATTATTTATTATCATTGTATCCGCATCTGGCAATAATAGCTTCTATTACACTTATGCATGTAGAAACTACCCCTATCGTATTTGTAGATTATTCTGTGCATAGGTCAAGTCTGGAGATCCTGGAGCTTATCGATGGACAAGTTGGAAAGTCATAATAGCATGTTTTACAATCCTTAACGATTAGTAGCAAATTAAAAAAAAATACATAGCACCCAGCCCATTCGCCTAAAATCAGCAAATTTTAT